ATCCTTGTTGATGAGGTGTGCCCCTCCCTCCCCTAGCAGTTTCCCTCAACTGCCAATCCCATCCCTCCTCCCCTGACAATTTCCCACTAGGGATTCCCAGTTTGCCAATCCCTTTCTTATAGTATTATAATAATCTTTCAAGCTCTGCTTATGAGTGAAAACATATGGTACTCTGTTCTTTGTTTCTGTGATAGATCACTGAGTATGATCAACCCTAAATCCATCCAAGTTGCTGCAAAGTTCATATGTTTGTCCTTCTTTATGGCTGCATAATATTCCACTGTGTATATGTACCACATTTTTTTAATCCAGTCCAGCTTCGATGGGCAACATGGGCAAACATATATGTGCAGGTGTCTTTTTTGTAGAATGATTTGAGTTCCTCTGGGTATATTCCCAATAGGGAAATTGCTGGGTCATATGGAAGGTCAGTTCTTTCAGAAATCGCCATACTGTCTTCCAAAGAGGTTACACTAGTTTGCATTCCCATCAGCAGTGTAGAAGCGTTCCTTTTTCTCCGCATCCTCGCTAGCATCTGTTGTTGTTTGCTTTATTAATGATGGCCATTCTTAACTGACGTTAGGCGGTATCTCAATGTGGTTTTGATTTACATTTCTCTGATGATGAGTGAGGCTGAGCACTTTTTCATGTGTCTGTGGCTGCCCGTATATCTTCTTTTGAGAAGTGTCTATTCATGTCTTTTGCCCACTTTTTAATTGGGCTCTTTGTTTTTTTCCTTTCGGTGTATTTGAATTCCTTGTAGATCCTAGATGTTAGGCCTTTGCCAGATATACAGTTGGCAAATATTTTTTCCCATTCTGTGGGCTGTCTTCTTGCTCTCTTAATGGTTTCTTTTGCTTTGCAGAAGCTTGTTAGTTTGTTGAGGTCCCACTTTTCTATCTTATTTCTTAAGATATGGACATTTAGGGTTTTGAATAGGAATTGGTTGCAAGTTCCAATTTCCATAAGGGTGTCTCCTGCGTTTTCCAAGATTCTCCTAGTTTGAGGTTTTATGTTTAGGTATTTGATCCATTTAGAGTTTATTGAGTTGGCTCTTTTATTGTTATGAAATGCCCTTTGTGTATCTGGTCATATTCTTTGTCTTGAAGTCTACTTTGATGTTAATACAACCATTCCAGCATTTTAATTATTGTTTGCATATGCATCTTTTTTCCATCTTTTTGCTTTCCCCTGTGTCTTTATATTTAAAATCTGCCCCTTTATAGTTGGGACTTGTGTTACATCCAGTATAATAATCTCAGTGTCTTAATAGGAATCTTCAGTTCATATACATTTAATGTAATTATTAGTATGGTTGGATTTAGATTTTTTTGTTGTTGTCACATCTTGTTTTTATTCCTCCCTCTGTTTTTTCTTTCCTGCCCAGTTTTGGGGAGGTAGGATAACTTTGTTAACTGTTTTTTAGTATTCACTTTGAATTTCTCTGTTGATTCTTACTGTATCTCTACATATTTTTAGTGGTTGCTATAAGGATTACAATGTACATTCTAACTTTTCACAATCTATTTAGAGTTAACATTGTGCCACTTCACATAAAAATGTGAGAAACTAGTAAGCATATGCATAGTTCAGTTTACTCCAGTACTTGACACTATATCCATCACAAACATTAAACCTATAAATGGTCCAAGCCACCAATAGATTGTTATAATTTTTGTTTTAAATAGCCCTCAGTATTTTTTAAAATTAAGACAAACAGAAAAGACAATTTTTATACTTATTTTTCATTTTTAGTGTTCTTCATTTCTTTCAGAAGATCCTGTTTCTGTCTGGCATTATTTCCTGTAAAATTTTTCAGTATTTCTTGTTTGTTTGTTTTATCTTAAATTTGTCTTTATTTTACCTTCATTCTTTAAATATATTTTTGCTGGATATGGAACTCGAGGTTGACATTTTTTTTTCCCCTTTCAGTGCTTTAAATAAAGTGTTCCATTGTTCTCTGGCTTCTATTGTTTCTGAAAAAAAGTTAGTCATTCTTTGTACTGTTCTCTTATATGTAATGTATTTTTTTCCTCAAGAAGTTGTGCCTAGATGTGTTTGTATGTGTTATGCTTAAGATTTTTTGAGCCTCTTCAACTTGTAAATGTATGACTTTCAGTACATTTGGTAAATGGCCATTATTTTCCCACAGGTTTCTGATACTTTTATTTTTCAAATTTCTTTTTCTTCTCTGTAATTCCGATTACCTCTATTTATCTAGCTTTATATTCAGGAATGATTTACTCTGTCCTTTCCAGTCTGCTACTAAACTTATTCTGTGAATTTTAAATTCTGCCTATTGATGCTTTTTCTGGTGCAAAATATCTATTGTTTCTTTCTATAGTACCTTTCTCTTCTGAGGGTTCCTAACTTCTCATTGATGATGAATATAGTTTCCTCCTCATCCTTGAAGATATTTTTAATATCTGCCTGAAATACTTATCTCTATTTCAGAAATTAGCATCTCAGAGTCAACCCATTTTGTAATGCAAGCACACAAGCTAGAGAAGTTACAATGACTTGCCTAGAGTCGCAGTTAGTAGCTGGAAGTAATGAGAAGAGGGTCTCTAACCTTGTTTTCTGAGTCCAGATCCCCCATTTTTTTCTCTGCACTGCATTGTCTCTCCACACTTTCTGTCATGGCAGTTCCTAGGGAAATTTACTATTTCTGAGAACTTGGGTAGATAAGTAAATGGATTCTTTTTTTTCCTTTCTTTTTCTCTTTCCTTTCCTTTCCTTTCCCTTCCCTTTCTTTCCCTTCCCTTCCCTTCCCCTTCCTTCCTTCCTTCCTTCCTTCCTTCCTTCCTTCCTTCCTTCCTTCCTTCCTTCCTTTCATTCTTCCTTTCTTGTGTCAGAGTCTCATTTTGTTGCCAGCTGAAGTACAGTGGCACAATCGTGGCTCACTGTTTTTCCTGGTTGGCGGCAGCCATGACAATCTGGGTCCACAACTCCTCATTCCTTCACCTCATCACACCTCCTTCTCGGGTCCCCGTAAACCCCCTGGAACTGGCCTCCGGCACCTGATCTCAGGTGATCCTTCTGCCTCAGCCTCCCAAGTATGCTGGGATTACAGGTGCACACCAAGCCTGGCTAATTTTTTCATTTTTCGTAGAGACAAGGCCTCCCTATGTTACCCCAATCTAGTCTCCAACTCCTGGCCTCAAGCAATCCTCCTGCCTCAGCCTTCCAAGGTACTGGAATTACGGAGGTGAACCACTGTGCCCACCCTTGTGGATTTTCTGGCCAAGTTATGATTGCTATAATGTAGAGAAGATGAATATATGATTAAATCAGGGAGCTTTTTCCTATTCTCCTAAATTCTCAAATGTCTCCCTGTTACAAGTTTACCCTTTGCTTAGAGCATGAGTGTGTGTGATGGTGGTTGGGCTGGGTGGGGTGGTGGTGCTGCTAGTGCTGACAAACCAAGTGCAGGTGTCCTTATGGGGCATAACTCTAGCACCCCAGTCATCCGAGGGAGCAGGGATGGTGTGGAGGAAGCGGATTGGTTTATCTTTCACCTTCACATACCCTTGGTAAGGAGCAGATTGGGCTTACCTCAGGGTTGGCTTTACTCCCCTTTTTACTCTCCTTTTTACTCTCCTTTTCTTTCCTGATTTTAGGACACAGCCTCTACAACCTATTAGCTTTGACCAAACAATTTTTCAGAATGGGGAAAAGTGTTTCCCTTTACAGTGAATTTTAAGAGTCTTAAGAGGCAAATGACAAGATGGAGGTATGTGTTCTGGCATGGTAACATATAAAGAATAATGGTTAATCATAGTCAAGAGGCAGCTACAACAAGCTACTGAGGTGAAGAAATATCATCCTCTTATAGTTGAGAATACTGAGACATAGAGATTAAGTGACTTGTCCAAGGCCACACAGTTAAAAGATGACAGAACTGAGACTCATACTCAGGAAGGCTGACCCCAAGCCCACATCTCGCTGCCTTCGTGATTGTCAAATGGCGTCTTGCTTCTCTGACCTGGCGTCCTTACTTGGGAACATTCAGTCTCCCTGGTGATTATATGTGCCTCCGTCTCCCCTGTGCCTCCTGTAGACATTGTTCATAGTTCACACCCCTCCCTTCTTTCCTGCAACCTCAGAGTCTTTCTCAGCTGAGTGTTCAGGAGGTCACTACTCATCAGTCACAGTTAGATGATCCTGTTTGCCACCCTGAAGTAGTCATGACCTTCATGCCTCTAATTCATCGTCTAGAGCTTACTTGCACTAGAATGGAATGAGTTAAGCAGGGGGAGATTACTGATAACCGATTCTGAGGAAATGACCAGGAAAACAACCAATTAAATGTGAGGAGACAGAGAAAAAATTAAAAAGGAGCCTGGGGAGGCAAACAATCAGCTTCCTTTTGCCAGCTGTTTGCCTCCACTGAGCCTGTTGTCTCTGCAGCCATACACATAAACAACTCAGTGGAGATGGTGTCATGCAGTTCTGTAGCCTGGTTGCCTCTTCCTGGACTTCAGAAAGCTTTGTGTGGGTCTCCTCATGTTGGGTTGCAACAGATCTCACCATCCCTGATAGTGCAGGACGTTTGGGTTCAGTTGACGTGTACATGGACCTGAGATATTGAACTTCTTGTCCTAGTGACAAAGCATGGTAGAATCTTCAGTCCCTGGATTGCCTTCTACAAGATCAGAAGCCTTAGAGCTATAGGACACATGTCCCGGGAAATGTAGGATGGTTTGTTTGTGACAAAATGCATTACCAAATAGATGTGATAGCTTTAATTTTGCAAACCAAATTTTAGAATTACTTTAGTAAAACTGTAAGACAGAAGGAAGACGGAAACAGGATGATAGACACAGATTGCAAGAGTCTATGTATGGTGTTGCTGATGTTTCTTATCTGTGTGTTTGTTAACCCCAGTGCCGTTTCAGTTTTTCTGATGCCATATAGTTTCCTAACCAGAAGGTGAAAGTAGTTTTCTAACTCTTCATTGAAAACATCTTTTTAACACTGCTTGTGATCTTATTGCACAGGTTTTTAAGGAGGAGAAATACTTGCGAGAGGCCATGGAGTGCAGCGATGTGATTTGGCAGCGGGGCTTGCTACGAAAGGGCTATGGGATCTGCCACGGGACCGCGGGGAACGGCTACTCCTTCCTGTCCCTTTACCACCTCACACAGGATAAGAAGTACCTCTACCGAGCTTGCAAGGTGAGGATGTCTGTCTGGAACTGTTTCGAGTATCCCAGAACAGGCACAGAATCCACAAGTACAACTCTTCTTCCTCCTTTTGACCTGGTCTCCCAACTCTGTGGTTTCTTCTGGCACAGCCTTGTCCCTCGCTGCTCTGGGCCACTGCGTTCTTGTCTATGAAATGTAGAACACAAACATAAATGGCTTCTGAAGAGCACAGAGTCTCTCCAGAATTACCACCTGTGCTATTTATAAGCTGTATGACTTTGGGTATGTTTCTTCTTTGAGCCTCTGTTTCCTCGTTTATAAAAATGAAAACAAATAATACCCCAAGGATGTTCCAAGAAGAATTAGTTGAGATAATGTGCAGATCATCAGTAATGTTCCTGCTGAAAGTACCCCAATGGTATCTCATTACACTGAAGCCGAACCCACACTCCTCTTCCAAGGTGCAGAAGCCTGGCACCCTGGCTTCCCTGCCCTCTTCACCTCTTTGTGTCCCGCCTTCTAGTTCCCCTGTCCCTCTGGAAAATGGAGTTTGCCCCACTTGTTCCCACTGGATCTGTTGTTCACTGTTCCCTTCATCAAGAATGCTTTCCCCCTGAAGTTTGCATGGCAACTCCTTGCAGTTCCAATCTTCGCTTAACTGTGACATGCTTAGGGCTTTTGAGAGCTCCCAGGGGAAGGATTATTTGGTTTTCTACTGTGTGTTTCTGCTTGTTTCTTGAATGTGTTGCATCAGTAGAAGTACAAGCTCTATGGTCTTATCTGTCTAAGTCACTGTTTGCACACTGGGAGCATTAGGATCTAGAACAGTGTATGACACCAAGTAGAAATTTAATAAGCGTGTACCGAGTGTGTGGACATGAACACACAAAGCAAGACTCAGTAAATGCTTGCTAGAAATTTAGTAAAGAGGAAACGAGGAAAGATGTTAAAAGAAGAAACTGCTTGTCCAAACTCCTTAGTACCCAGGGAAGCTGTTCAGAGTTCATTGTAGCTGGATCAGGAGGGGGTGGGGCAGCATGGAGCCAGTCAGAGCAGTGGGGAGCAGCTGAATTCTGAAGGCTTCAGTCAGCCTTGATAATAATTATGGTTGTAGGTAGTTAAGTAAATGTGGGGAGTGTGAAAAGACTTTTATGAGGCTGAGGCACACCTGTCTTTTTTAGATGAGGAGTTTCAGGTGACCCAGGAAGGGCTAGGTGAAATACAGTCCTGATGAGAACAGGGCCTAGGAAGGTAGAATGCAGTCCTGATAAAAATAGTTTGTACCAAACTACAGAGACATAAACCTTCTCACCAAGTGAAGACTCAATTCTTAAAAAGAAATGCCTCTTTTTATAGTTTGCAGAGTGGTGTCTAGACTATGGAGCACATGGTTGCCGCATTCCTGACAGACCCTATTCCCTCTTCGAAGGTAAGAGTGAGAGAAAATGCCAATGATATAAATATTCAGGCTGTCATGGACTGGCATTATTACATGTAACCTGTCTCGAGCTATAACTTCAAGACTATCACAGAACAGTGAAAAAATTAGTTTATTGCTTAAAACTATATTGAATCTCTTTACCTATATTTTGCTCCCATGAATGTCTTCCAAGTATTTTCGGCTCTTTTGTGGAGTTCTTATGTAGACTCAGTAAAGGAAGGAAGAAATTTACGGTCTGCATTTCATCTACAACACTGCATATATAATATTGACATAGTTACAGGAAGCTTGGATGGTCATTTAAATATACTTAATTATTTAAATTGTAGAGGGAAGAATGAATAATTTATACTAGCAATTATAAGTTAATAATTAGAAAACTAGCAAGAGCAAATATTGAAGAAAGTTCTGAAAAAAAGAGCAATAACAGGCAATAATTGAGTCTGCTGCTGTTTATGGTTTTTTTCACATACACAACACTAACAATATACAACAAAGCACACAATTTTTTTTTTTTTTTTTTTGAGTTGGTATCTCACCCTGTTGCCTCGGCTGGAGTACAGTAGCACAGTCACAGCTCACCGCAGCCTTGACCCCCCCTGGGCTTCCGTGATCCTCCCACTTCAACCTCCCAAGTAGTTGGGACTACACGGGCATGTCACCACACCCGGCTAATTATTATTATCATTTTTTTTTTTTTTGAGTTGGAGTTTCACTCTGTTGCCCAGACTGGAGTACAGTGGCCGCTCCCAGCCACCACAGCCTCGGCCTGCTGGGCTCCAGTGATCCTTCCACCTCAGCCTTCCAAGCAGCTGGAACTACAGGCGCGCACTACCACGCCTGGCTAATTTTTTGATTTATTGTAGAGATGAGGTCTCGCCAAGTTGCCCAGGCGGGTCTCGAACCCGCAGTCTCTGGCAATCCATTCACCTCAGCCTCCCAAAGCACGGGATTACAGGCTGAGTCACCGAGCCTGGCTAATTATTTTTATTTTTTGTGCAGATGATGTCTTGCTATGTTGCCCAGACTGGTCTCAAACTCCTGGGCTCATGCAGTCCTCCTGCCTTGGCCTCCTAAAGTTCTGAGATTATAGGCATGAGGCAGGGCGCCCAACCAAAACACTGTTAGTGTGCTTCTCTGAGTCTTGATGAATATATAATTACTGCAGTGATTTAGGGTTGGGATTTTGACCAAGTAAATTTAGGTTTGTTGAAGATAACATCCCTTGAATGTGAAGATGTAAGATGCAACTTTTTGTTTGGAATGAGACTACAAAGGCTCTGTGGGGGAGTTTTATGTGTTGAAAGATAATTAGCAGCATCTATAACTTTTTGGTAGCAATTATGTGATGTCATCTTAAAGCTTCGAGATACAAGATTAAAGCCCAGAAGACAGTTTTTAAAAAATAAGATGGTGAAGAAAACTGGTACTATTACCTTCTGAGTATTAACACAAAGATGTCTTTATTTTTCCCTTTATTTAAGTGAAGTCATCTTCAGAGTCCTCCTATACCCTTACAGCCCCTGGTAGAGGAAATGACCATAAGTCACTCTGTTTCGACACCACTCACATGCCCTCCCTAAAAGGATCCACATTTTATATTGCAGGCATGGCTGGCGCTATTCACTTTCTCTCTGACATCCTGGGACCAGAGACATCACGGTTTCCAGCATTCGAACTTGGCTCTTCAAAGAGGGATTAAAAGGTGCAAAAAGACAATTAAAAACTTGTTTGGACCAAAAGTCACCAGATTGGTTAGTGCCCGACACAGAAACAAATGTGAATCCTGAAAGAGAACAGAAAAGCAGACACCTTCACAGGCCCCCTTTTGTTGCAAAGACCCTTGAATTAGAGCATGAGTGACCAAAACCATCCCGTCAGCATTTTGTAATGGTGTCCTCTTACTGGTATAAAATATGACTTCCTCACATCTAGATTATCTGTAGTGTTTGCATGTTTCCTGGTGTTTGTTGTCTCTAGTTGTAAGCTGTTCTAAACAGAAAGCAATTATCTTCTCTTGAACTGAGAGCTGACCATGCATAAGTGTTTGACGGCTGCCCTTTTCTGTATATAATGTATAAAGTGGGGTGCCTTCCATGTTGAAAAATGAGGGAACAGCCAGGTGATTTCTTATTTATATGTCAGAAAGATCATCCGGGGCATATCCTATTGATGACACGTTATCAACATTTTCCGTGGGCTCCTTTCATATGAGTCCGAGGGAAGAACCCTTCCAAAAACTTAAAAGAAACTGCAGATCCAGGGGTTGTGCTAGAGTGGTCTGGGGAGCACACAGTTGAATTCCAGGGACCCGTGTCCCTGAAATTAAACTTATTTCAAACATTTAATAAGTTTTCACAGCTCCTCTCCGGGTTTTGTGCTAACATCCGTGTTTTTAAGAAGCCCCTGAGGGTCCATTGCAGCTCTGTCAGGACTTCCCAGTCTCAGCAGAGGCTTCAGGCTTTGAGTGCAGAGTTCAAGAGGACCCTTGCAGTCCAGGGCAGCTGGTGCCCTGGGAACAGACTCCTCATGCCAGGGCTGGAGTTCAAGGGAAACCTTTGGATGGCTGCATCATAGGTAGCAATGACTAAACATTGGCAGTTCTGGAACATTTACCCTGGTACATGTTATTTTAAAAGACTCCACCTCAATTTTGGCAGCAGTATAAATTATTGTTGTAAGAACAGTAGATACAATTCCAGATGGGTGATTAACAGAAAGATCCTCTGTTGGTCCCGTGTCCCTGAAATTAAACTTATTTCAAACTTTTGGTAAGTTATCAAAGTAGAAATTTGAGATTAATGTGTTTAATATTTTTTTTGTCTATTCTTGGCTGATAAAATCAAAAGTACTAGCCCACATTTATCAATGTGAGAAAGTGTTCTAATCAAGGAAATTATGGTATTATCTATCTTAACATTTTTTATTTTATTACATGGGCAGTAATTTTGGTTCACACACTTTTAGTAAATCTACCCTGTAGATTGTTTTTAGAAGAGTTTCTGTCATCATGGTACAAGGACCAAGGACATCTCACCTTTTAAACTAAGGCATGTATCAAAAGACAAGAGAGGACTCTCTAATGGTCTAGTTCTTATATACAGGGAATTGTCTAAACATTTACCAGCCCTAGTTTCCACTTCTCTCATAAAAGAGAGAATGAAAGTGAAATAGGAATGATAGTTTAGAAGACATGTGCATCTCCTTTATATGTGCAGTTATTTATGGGGCTGGCACCCTAAACTTGTGACCTTCGGTTTCTAGATGATGCTGCAAGTCCTTCATGGCTGACACTCTTGCTCCCAAGTCTTAATCGTTTCACGTTAATTGGTGACTTCTATTATCTAAATCCTCACAAGTATATTTTAACCGACTTCCCGGGCCTGCTAATGGGCTCCTCAGGGCAGTCGGCAGTCCATTAGCCGAAGCAGGATGCTGTCATGAATGAGCTGAGGAAACTGTGTTGCAGGAGACCTCACACGGTATCCAGTCTTATACAGACAACACGGTTCCGTTCTCCCCACCCACCTCATCAAAAGTAATACATTACAGAACTGAATGAGAGCCTGCCTGTCTTTGTTCTCAAGGAAGCCAGCCAGTGAGAGCTGCATGGACACCCCTGGGGCTCTCAGAAGGGAGTGTCTGGCCTAGTATTTCTGGCCTGATTCTGGCCAACTGTCTCTACCCCAGTTGCAGCAAGAGTGACTCTTAGTTATCTGGGTGTCTCCTGGGTGCATTCATTCACATGCATATTTGAAAAGCACTTTAGTCTTTCTGTTTAGCACACTGAGAGAAAGATAAAACACCTATGGCTAGATAAATGGAAGAGATTATATTTACAAATTTTTCTGAAGTCAGCTGGGTTGACACCTTCCTACTTACTCACTAGATATTAGAAGATGTGTAGTTGTGTGATGTCTGTATTAGCCCACTGCCTCATGTTTGTTACCTGTATTGCTGTGTGATGATAGTTCCATCTCTCAGTCCCTGATGGCAGAGGGAAAAATGGCATGTGCTTCTTAGGACAGAGGACTATAGAAGTCAGATTTTAGACAGATTTCAGAACATCTCACATTCAATTATTGGCTCTGTTTGTATTCACAACTGTGTTCTCCAAAATGTGTCTGAATTTTAAGAATATGTACATGCACAATACCATTTTAAAATCTGAAGGAAAAAAATTGATGTCTGCAAAAAGTGTCTGGGGTTCTTTGGTTTTGTTAGTAAAAAGACAGTTTTGTGGTAATGACCTGTGGGATCTTCATTTGTTTTCATTTCTTTGCAGTGGTGACTGTTCTGAAGATTGAATTCTTCGTTCTAGTTGACGGTTTCTGTACATGCATTCTTTTTTATTATTATTATTCCAATAAGACCTTTGGAGATCTGCATAACAGCTGCATTTATTGAGCCTGCATTATGTGGCAGGCCCTTTATCTTCCCAGTGCTGAGAGGGAAAGTGTTATTATCACTTTCTAACAAATGAGAAAGCGGCAGACTTGCCCAGTGTTATACAACCAGTACGTGGGACAGTCAGGGTTCAGACCCAGGCGGTTCTTGCCCGTGGTCATGCTTCTCAGTTGCACATTATGCCTCTTCCTCCCTTGCCTGGTACAGAAGGTAAGCCACTAAAGCCCAGGAGAGCCCTGGAACTTGGCCATAAGCTCGTGGCTAGAAAACTGAAATGCAGGAAGCAGGACCCGTGTGAGGCTCTTCCTCTGTCCCAACATCTCTACCCCTCACTGCATTCGTGGTGGGGAGGGATTCTCCACCACTCGCTGGAATTGAAACCACCTTTAACATAAGTTTTTTCACATCTGCTGCTTCATTTGCTAAATTTGCAAAAATCGTTGTCTAAAGTGTAGATTTCCTAAAACACTTTTTGCAAACTGTCTCCACTTCCTCCCAGACTCCATGCTGCAGCTTCTGGGAGCCTGCCATTCATGAGCCTCACTGTCTGGCAAGAGGCTGGGTCTGGGGTAACCCCTTCGGGTCCCCTCCCACTGGGAGCTTTTCTGTCCTCTCAATAAATCCTGCTTTCTCAATTAAAAAAAAAAGAGGCTGGGTATATGACAGGGATGGGACTGTGGATGGTCTCCAGGAGTCTGTGAGCCCCCTGAATTGTGTGCAAAATTTTATGTGCATATGCATATTTAACTGGAGAGAGAGTGTTTAGTTTTCATCAGAGCTTTAAAGTAATCTAGGACTGAAAAAGAGTGGAGTGTCAGGTGGTGGGGTCTAGAATGCGTGTGGTAAGCCAGGCTTCAAAGCAGGGAGCAGAGAGTGCTGCAGGAGGCAGGCATGGTAGGGGATCTAGGATCAGGAGGCACCGTGCGTGTTTAGGAAGACCCCTCCCACCCTGGAAGATGCACCTGCAGTCCCAACTCTTCTGTTTCAGGCTGTCTTGAGGAGAGCCAGGTGTCTAGTCCCGCTTCACTCGTCCCCTGGTCTACCAGCCTCTTCTCCACCTTCTGGTACATAGCTACTGTGTGGAAGGTGGAGGTCCAGGCTGCGTGGCATGCAGCTCCCTCTGGAAACTGGCTGGTGGACTTTCAGGACACTGTACTCCATCCTCTTCCTCTCCCGAGCAGAACAAGGTTAAGCTCTTATATGGTCCAGTGTTACCAAGACTCCTACCCCCTCGGGGTAGATCACTGAAGCACCCTTGACCTCAAGTGACTGGGGCTACAATTAGTCCTGTCTGCCTCACAATTTCTCCAACTTGAAGATGGGCAGCTGGAATCTCTCATTCAGCAAATGTCTGCCGAGCACCTGCAGAGTGCCAGGCATTGTGCTAAGTGCTGGGAATGATATGAAGCAGAAAAGCCACCATAGATCTGTCCTAGTGCAGTAAACAGTTTGGCCTGATGCAGCTGCTGGAAGCCTCGAGCTCTGACTCAGAGGCAGCCCTCGCTCAGCAGGACCTCAGCGCCTCTGTCATCAGGTGCAGCAGCCTGCTTCTAAGTAACTGGTATATGCGTTGTCCAGGTAATGGCAGGAGAAGGGCTGAAGGTAAGTGGTGGTCAGCCCGGCCTTGCAGGGTGGCACCCTCTGGGGATGAGGGCAGAGTGGTCCCTACCCTCCGGAGACATATGGGCCACAGAGAAGATAAATAAATATGTGTTTACATTTTACAGCCAAGCCAGGGTGGTGCAGGTTAAGAGCAGAGGCTCTGGAGCCTGGGATCTGTGTTCACGTCTCAACTCAGTCACTTATCATGGGAACTTGGACAAGCAATTTCCTAAGCCTTGGTTTCTTTTCTGTAAAGTCAGGACAATAGTGATGTGAAGATTCAATGAAATGACAAATGGAAAGAGTATCCAGCATGGTGAGTGTCTATAATGGGAGAGGTGATGGCGGTTGTGCGTTTCTTCATGGGAGGAAGCGGGCCCACTTGAGCCAGCTGTGTGTGTGTTGCTAATTGCCCCAGGGTCTTTCAAAGGGGAAAGATACTGCAGGAGCAAGGATGTCCCAAGCCAATTTCAGGATGACTCAAAATATCAGTCTTCAGATTGACTGGGCTCTCAGCCTGACAGAGGTGATAGGGACATCACCAAGCATTATATGCTCAGCTGCTGAAAATCAGATGTGAGCCTATAATAAGAGGGAAGTGACCCACACACATTTTCCTGACAAACGAGAGGCACCTGCTCCCAGAAGCCCCTGAGGCCCCCTGCAGACACTGTCTAGCATGAAGAGGAAGGGTCTCATGCCTCTTCAGCGCCCAGCCCCATCCTTGCAGCTGAGGCAAATGCTTTGAGTTCTTGCATGCCAGAATATTTATTCTGCTCTGACACTTAAACCATAGTTTACTTGCTGATAGAATTCTTGACTGGAGATCACTTTCCTACTGATATTTCAAGGCATTGTTGTATTGTCCTTGATCTTCCATTTTTGCCTGTGGGAATTTCATGGCCATTATGACTTTTTTTTTGGTATGTGATCTTGTGTTTTATATGAGTGCTTTGCAAGTTGTAGAATTTTTTTTTAATCTTTCATGATAATGGGCCTAGTCCTGAGCTCCTAGTAATCCCTTCCAATCTGTGAACTCAGGTCTTCCAGTTCTAGGGCTTTCTCTTGGATTTTTTTTTTTTTTTTGAGTTGGAGTCTCACTCTGTCACCCAAGCTGGAGTGCAGTGGCATGCTCACAGCCACCACAGCCTCGATGTGCTAGGCTGAGGCCATCCTCCCACCTCAGCCTTCCAAGTAGCTGGAACTACAGGCATGTGCCACCACACCCGGCACATTTTTTAAAAATTTATTGTAGAGATGTGATCTTGTCAAGTTTCCCAGGCTGGTCTTTAACAAAACCCTGGTCTCAGGCATTCCTCTCACCTCCGCCTCCCAAAGTACTGGGATTACAGGCGTGAGCCACTGCGCCTGGCTTGGATTTTTTTTTTTTAATGGATTCTTTCTTGATGTCCTTGTCTCTTTTTCTTGAACACCTATTATTTGAATTTTAAACCTCCAACTATAGTGTCCGATTTTTTTCTTCCATTTTATACCCCTTTGTCTTTTGGCTTTACTTTTTGAGAATTTCAACTTTATCTTCCAGTCTTACTATTGAGTGTTTCATTTCTTTTTTCTTTTCTGGAATTTTGTTGTTGTTCTCCACGTATCTTTTATGTAATATCCTGTTCATAGTTCTTGATTTTGATGTCTCATCTCTCTCAGGATGTTAATTTCTTCACCTGATATCATTACGTGCGTACTCAACACCAGACACTATTCTAGGTGCTTGAAACTCATCCACGAACAAAACAGGCAAGGGTCCTCACCTAACGAGTGTGCGGTCCCACAGTGGGAGGCAAGCAGCACCTACACACACACAAGCAATATTCTCGCATGTAGTGAGGTGAAAAATGCTATGGAAAAAGACAAAGCAGAATCAAGGAGACTGACAGTGGCGAAAAGGGCGCAGATCTCTACTTCTTACAACTTTATCAACTCTACTTTCTCTTTTATTGAGATGTGGGGTGTACATGTGCAGGTTGGTTATGTAGGTATACTGTGTGATGGTGAGGTGTGGGCTTCTATTGAGCCCATCGCTGAGGTGGTGAGCATGGCACCCAACAGCTGGATTTTCAGCCCTTATCACCCTCCCTCCCTACCCCTTTAGGAGTCTCTAGTGTCTGTCATTCCCCTGTGCGCCCGCATTTAACTCTCACAAGTGCAGTGTTCAGTTTTCTGCATCTATGATAGTTCACTTAGGCTTATGGTCTCCAGCTGTATCCATGTTGCTGTGAAGGATGTGACTTTGTTCTTTTGTGTGACTATGCAGTACTCTGTGACATGTATGTACCACATCTTCTGTATCCAGTCCACTGTTGATGGGCACTTAGGTTGGTGCCCTGTTTTTGCTATTGTCGGTAGTGCTCCAATAAGCATGCATGTGCAGGTGTCTTTTTGGCCAAATGATTTATATTCCTATAGATATATACCCAGTAGCGAGATGGCTGGGTTGAATGGTAAGTCTAGTTTTAGTTCCTTGAGAAATCTCCAAACTGCTTTCCACAAGGGCTGAACTAGCTTACATTCCCACCAACAGTGTATATGTTCCCTTTTCTCCTCACTCTCATCAATACCTGTTGTTTTTTGACTTTTTAATAACAACCAGTCTTGTTGGTGTGAGATGGTGTCTCATTGAGATCACTGTTTCAAACAGGATGATGAGAGCGAGACATTTGAGTCAAGACTCGAAGAAAGTAAAGAGGCCGACCAGGTGAATATCTGTGGAAAGAGCGTCCCAAGAGGTAGGCATGCCAGTGCTGAGGCCCCGCAGGGAACACAAATCTCACATGCAAGAGGAAATACAGAGAGTCCTGTGGGTTGCAGTGGAGTGGATGAAGAGGAGTGTGGAGAAACCAAAGGAAGACCATTCTTGGGAAAAAGCATGGGGGCCATCCTTAGGAGATTGGCACTTACTCTGGGTAAAACAAAAAGCAGTTTGAGTTTTGAGAAGGAAATTAACTGGTTTCTGTTTTAAAGGGTTGACTCTGGGCGCACGTGTAGGAGCAGGGAAGCTCGAAGGCTGGGCCAGGAGAGGAGTGGCAGAGGAGGTGGTAAGCGGTGGGAAGTTTGTCTCTGGGTGACTCCTGAGCTGAAGCCAATCAGATGTTTCCACGGTCAGGTGCCAAGCAAGAGAGCTGATAGAGATGGCTGCAGCAGAGCGTCTGGCTTGGCAGCTAGAAGGGATGGCAGTCCCTGGAAGCCAAGTGCACATGTGTGGGGAAGGACGGGGTTGCTGCTTCA